CATTTGTGTAATGCCTAGCGACAGAAAAGATCGGTCTAAAGCAACGTTCCTTGCCATATATAGTGTCATCCAGTGCGAAATATAGGAGAATTTCTGAGATGATTTGTGATACTAAAAATATGATGCCATCGATATAGAAATGACATTTTCGTACGAAAGCCAAAAGTGTTCTTTTATGCTTTATAAGATGGTTAAAAAAAAAAGGTATAGAATAGAAAATATATAAGCATACTATATAAAAAACATAAAAGATTTTAACATACGAATGAATAGAAATACAAGATTCGACCATTTAATGACCTAAAATATTTTATAGCTTAACTGGATCGCAACAAAAATTAAGATATTATCTGTAAATAAGCTAATGGCCATCTAACAAATTTAAAAACTTAAATGCAGCACATACTCGTATGCTAATTAAAACATTTTGAGAGGCTCGTCTGACAAAGAGAAATCTAAAACTAAAGCCCTGCAAAAAATCAAACCAAAGTCGGGTCAGCATACTTAATGTGACAATCGTGTCGAGACAACTAATTTAATTAATGCATAACCATAACGATTATTATTTTAATTATATACATACAGACACACTCGCAAAGTCGATGAATATGCAAGCAAGATGTGGCCAAAAAAAAAAAAAAAAAAAAAAAAGGAAAATAATAAAAATTAAATAAAAACTGGATATCTCTATGACACTATAAAACCATAAAACTCGTTTGGCTAACTGTGGCCAACTAATGACGAACCGACTTTCAAGTTTAAGCCAACTTGGCGACAGGTGCATGGCCCATCCCAAATCCCCTATGACGTCATGGTCATTGTTAATTCTCATGAAAAAATTTGGTACAGACGAAGAAAATTGTATAACCCTTGGGAATCGATAGAATTAAAGAGGAAAATATATTTTTCCAAATTTATTAATATTTTTATCTATCTTACATTTTATTTTATAAGATTAACTTTTTATACAATAATTTTATGAATGTTAAATGCTTTTGTTTGTTAAATGGAAACATTTTTAAGTACATTTTGACACTTTTTTTTATCGTTTTTTTTATAGATGTTATTATTTTTTTTTGCTGTGCATTTCTTTATGTAAATAATTTTTGTGTGGCCAAATCAAATAGGCATTCAGATATGAATTAAGTTTAATAAATGCAAATGGTTTGCACTAATTTAGCAACAAGTTTTTCGGTGTCAGTTTGCTTAACTTCCTAGTTTGCCCGGCACAGTGTTCCCTCGTCAACAGGCCCCTCATAATTAGCTGCGGAAATGTTTGCCAACCGAAGTCGAAGTGGAGATCGCATTTAACAAGTTCTTATTGCCGGACTTAACTCGTCTGCTAATTGGCAGTGCAGTTCGCTCACCGCTTTTGTTTTTTATTTTTTTCCTTTTTTTTTTTTTGTCGGAAATTTGCTTTTGAAGGACCAAAGGTTTTGAGTATCTGGTTTCTGTGGTCCAGAGATCGCGAAAATATATGATTCATCGGCGCCGTGTAACAAGTCGATTGGAATTTCTTAGAATCATTACTTGATGTTGTTTATTCCGCTCAGACAACAAATCGAGCAAATCTGTTCTAGAAAATTTTTCTGATTCATCGTTCTATGCGGTAGAATATCACCAAATAAAATAAATGCAAAAATCATTTTGGTTTTTTATTATTGTTTTCTTGGACAATAACTTAGTTAAGAATTTAAGGAAAAACTTTTAGAGGATGAAATCTTTAATAACTGATTTAAATAGGGGAAGTTATGGATCCTCGAAGTTAAGTTTTGGGTTACCTTTCTACAAACCCATTATTTGAAACTTTCAAAAGTGAAAAAAACAAAAATTAGATTACCAAACCACCTACTTTAAAATGTAATTAATTTGGAGATATAATTTATATTGGTAAAGTTGAGGTTTGGGAAGTTCAAGTATAGATCATCATTCGGCCAAAAATAAAAGTAGGTAGTAGATCATTGCTCTGGATTGTACGAAATAGTAAATGATTCATGGCCATTAATCGTGTCTTTATAGTACAACCCGATCTCTAGCCCACAAATACCAAATCGAATCGGTCAAGTTAATTGACCCACAACTGGACTCATTCGTCGCATTTCCATTCCATACACAATACACAACCACCTAAAGTAATCCCCCGTAAAACCGTTGCACACACTCCTAAAAAAAAAAAACACATTTGTTTGGCCCATTCACTTGCAATTGCCTGCCAGTTTGCTGGCATCGTGATCGGACAATCAATTTAAGTTGCACATCGTTGTTCTGCGAATCGGGTGATTCACTCGATAGTATATATAGTATTTATATAGTATTTATATAGTACAACATCATTCATACGTATGCAGCTCTAGCTTTTTGGTCTCTCCCACGCCAACGGGTGTGTGTGTGTGTGTGTTTGACTCACTATGGCAGTAACGGGCTTTAAACACTGCAAGAAAATACTAAAAAATCTTCTTAATTAAAGAGATTATTTATTAGTTTTTGTTTCTAAGGATCACTTAACAATATCCTTTACCTAGCTTCGATCTTCGATATTTCTTAATGTTGTGTTTTTATTTTTAAATTATTGATAGTTTTATCCATTCTGCTCAACATTTTCTCTCTGTGTAACTGCAAACATTTCGCAATTATTGATTTTGGCAGTGCAAATAGATGGCAAGCTGTGATTTCTGTGTGCGCACAATATTTGAACGGACGTCGCCTTTCGTGGTAATTTAAAACATTTTGTGTACACAGTTTGTTAAGATTCGTAAACAAATCACGTACGACAACAACACTACGCAGGCGCAGCAGCAGCAGCAGCAGCAGCAACAGCAACAGCAACAGCAGAAGCAGCGCAGCTTTTTTGAATTTCGCGCCGTCGCTAAACATTGCAATACAAATGCATATAGATACGATAGAGTATATATATACTATATAGCACATATACGAAAGATGCCGGTTGCGTTGGCGTCGCCTCGCATTTTGACCGTTTCGTTTTGAACACATCATTAAAGATATGGCGACGACAATAGGGCAAATCGGGGTATATACAATATATGAAACAGTTTTACTTCTTGAATAAAATTTTTGTTTGCAAGTTTTTATTAAAATGTTTAAAGGCTTTCTTGATGTACGATGTATAAACACAAGATTATTTTAATAAAATTGTGTTTCTTTTTCGATTCTTAATTTTTAAAGGATATTTCCAGTTCGTTGCTGTGCTCTTTGTGAACTTTGCATTTGTGGTCTCTGTTCCATTTCGTATTCATTAGCAGTATTCGCACTCTTTTCGTCTCTCAATGTCCGCATTCATTTTGCATGCATTGTTTTTTTTTTCTCTCTTTATTTTATTGTATTTAACGACGCCGCTGTCTGCCGATCGCTTTTATTATATTTTTCTTTATTTTTTTTTAAGACAACAACCGAAAAAGAGCAAAAGCTGACAGCAAAGCCGGCAACAGAGGAACAAAAAATGCAAAAATGAAATAAGAAAAATAAGAGGAATACAAAAAAAAAGAAAAAAAAATCGGAGACTGCGCCAATGCCGGCCGGCTTTTTTAACCGACTGAGTCACTGCAGGTTTTTGAACTTGCTAAAATCGCTGCGCAGGCGCATTCGGCGTGCAATTTCCAGCGCGCGCTTTTTTCTGTTTTCTTTTTTGTATAAAGGTTTTTTTGTTTTGCATTTTTTTTTTTTTTTTTTGTTTAGGCCGCTTCCTTTTCACAGTTTTTGTTTTGTTTTGCTGCTTCTCGCTGTTGTGGATTTTTGTATGTGATTTTTTGTGTTGAAAACATTTTTGAAATGTTTCAGCAGTTACAAGCGTCTAAATACAGGGCTCAGTCGATAGAGGGAAATTCTTTTGGGACAGAAAAAAATATAAATATTTTTAGTACACTGTAGTATAGCAAATTCTATAAAGAATGAAATGTACTCTAGAAAATGCATTACGCATACGCAGTGTATATAAATTTGTATTTTCAAATATTTTCAGTTAAGAGAAGAATTAAATTCAGTTATAAATTGAAAATATTCTATAAATTATATTCTCAATCTTTACTTTATAAACTAATTTAAATTTGAATGCTTTTTGGCTTACCTTCTGTATTTCCTTGACATTATCTGCGATATTTCCTTTTTTCGCTTTTTCGATGCGCCCATCTTTGATTCATAAAATAAATGGATTGTCTTTTAACTGCACAAATGAATTTGTCTGTTGTGCTGCCAGCATCCGCATAGTCCCCTCACGGAATCACCACCCTTAGTCCCCTCCCAATGAACCAATGAAAGCAAATGACGACATGATTTTCTCATAAGAGGGGGAGTGTGGTGAGGGGTATTCGATCCGATCGGCAATCTCTCTCACAGCCATCATAAAAAAAAATAACCCGAAGACAGGGTCCCACAACTTGCAATTATATAAAATGCATAAATTATTACCCATCTGCTGTCTTCGCGGCTTTTTACCGCAAATTTGTTGCTCGTTTTAATGGCGCCGTTTCATTAGCAGTCCGCCACCGAGATTAACGCCTATCGGCGCCCAAAAGTATGCCATAAATGCTCTAAAGGTGTTGTCCTTGATCCGCTCCTGCTGTTACTGCTTGGGTTTCTATGGTTAAAATGGTTTCAATTTTGTATTTTCTGAAATAAAAAACATTTTTTTGTTAGAAATTAACGAATATTAATGAACTAACAAATTCGTTTATAATTCGTTTGTTTTCAGTTACCATTAACTTTCAAAAAAAAACATAAATCTATAAAAATAGAAACATATTTTCGAGTTTTTGTATTAAATGAAATATTTTGGTACTAACCATCTCATTTTATGCACTTTTTTTTTTTGTTTTTTGTGGGTCTTAAAACTCATTTGGCAACGTTTCCTTGCCGCCGTTGACGTTGTAAATTGAAGCTAAAATGTTATCCCCAGCTGGATCTCTGGATCTCTAGATGATGGAGATTCTTATTGTGATTGCTGGGGGGGACGAAAAGGGGGCAGACAAAAGAGATGAAGAAGACACTTAAGCAGTTTTTTGTTTCGTCGTGCTGGGAGTGTGACAAAACAATTAATGTTTATTTTTGCATTTTAATTTGCCAACATTAATTGCAAGTTTATTGAGCTGGGAAGCCAACGAACCGAACCGCTGGCCTTGGATATTTTTGGTTATGTTTTTCTTCTGGTAGGTTATTCCAATCTACTTCTTGATCATCATTTGGCCGAAAGGGTCATGGTCATCAGGACGACGAATACGGATTGAGCCAGTAAAATGAAATCGGCGCCCAATCCCTCCTTATAGTAATCAAGAATTACGGAGCCATAACGGGCAGCAAAGGCAACGGCTGCCAAGCCGCCATATAGATACTTCGATTGATTGACGCCCAGAAAAAGTAAAGATACCACATTTCCCAAAAGAGTGAGTTCTTTCAGTGTCTCCGTAGATATATCCTCATTGTCACCCATTTTGGCTATTAAATCATAGATTAATGGCACCACAAAACAGCCATGGGCCAAGGCCAGACTTGGATTGTTAGATCGCAGATAGAGTTGGATATTGGTGAGTGGAAGTGGTACTATCTCCATGATACCAGATGTTATTAATCTCATACGATTGCATTCATCATCATCGTTCTTCGCTGCCCGCAACACCCCCAAGATTCCGTGGACCAGGCTCAAAGCCGCCGTTCCATAACCGTAGGGCGTTTCCAGGGGATGGAGGGTGTACATAGCATAACCGGAACTTACCACCAACAAACTATTGAACAATGCATCCATATACAGCATCTCTAATTTTCTTTCAAACAAGTTGCCTTAAATAGTTTTGTCCACTGATTTTTTTTTTTTTTGATACTGAACTGCAAATTTTATGTTAAGCAACTCCTTATAGACCCATTTCAAAGGCTGGATTGGGTCTGACAGAAGGGAGAAAGCCTGCTTAAAAGGTTATTTAAAATATTTATAAAGATATATATTCATCATCCTGAAAAGTAGTTACTTATTAACTATGTAGTAGAGACTAAATTAAGTCAGCTCCTTCTCACTCCTTATGGACTGTATTTTTGGGTAACCTTTTCGTAGGTTTTTTTTGTTTTTAATTTTCCGAAATTTACATATAAATAGGAAGAATATGCAAATTGAAAACCAAAATTGGGTCGCAAGTTTTTACAAGTCTTTGTAAATAGTCTTCCCTTTAGCGTTCATCGCTAAAAATGTCATTATGTCAAAAACTATCTATATACCTACCATTTTTATAATCAGTTAATTTTATAGTGAATTTTGGATAGTGCCTCTGTACCATAATGGATTCGGTTGGATGCGATGAACCAAGCCGGACTCATCTGGCTGAACACAGAGCATCAAGCCCAATGTCCCCGTTGATTTATGGCATCAAGGGTGGGCAGCTTAATCCACTCGCATCCACCTGCGATCCACCTGCCGTCGACGGGCAGATGGCCCAATGCTTGCCAAGTTCCAAGTCTCAAGTCCAAAGACCAGAGACCAGAGACCGGAGACCCACAAGACCACAAAACGAAAGACCAGGGGACCACAACCACAAGTTCGCTTTAATTATTAATTTAAATCGCACCGTTTATATGATAAAGACACTGGGACGTGCCGCTGAGCATTAGTGCATGTTGCAAGTGAAGTGGCAAGTGCACCAAAGAGTACAGGAGCGGATCAAGGGTTAGGTAAATGTTTTAAAAGAAATATTTTTGGATTTTTATATAGAAGAATTGAGCACATTTTGTGGTTAGAAAGTGTTACATAAAATATAGAAGATATTTAATGGATATTCTTATGGGAATTTCTATTTATTTTTTACTACTTCTTTTTAATATATAATTCCTTATCATAGTTTTGAAAATATAAAACTTTCATGGGTCTAATAAGGAAACTTCAATCCCCCTCTGAACCGCTTTTTTTTCGACTCGACTGAGTGGCGTGACAAAAGTTGTTGCTCGAATGCCTCCCCCTTTTGCAGGCCCGCCTCTGACCCCGTACCGCCCTTTTTTAGGCCCCCGCCCTCTTTCCGCACAGATGATATACATATATATATATACGTATATACATATATCTAGTATGAACAATATGAAGTCTGCAGGCGAAGTCTGCAAGCGTAAAAATATGAAAAGTGCCGCAAGTGCAACAAGTGAAATACAAAAAAAAAGGGAAAAAAACTGGTAAAAGAAAAATAAACACAAGTGCAAGTGCAGGCAACTCGGCTCAGACACTCAATTCATAATTAATCAGGCTCTTCTTTCCACTTTCTGTGGCGAGCTTAACACTTCCCCCATTGCCACACTCAGGAAAAATGTGGTTTTTAAAGAAAATTACTAGCTTCCCTAGAATTTAATTTCTGTTTAAAACTCAATACCGAAAGATATTCAAGTTTCATAATGATAAGGACTTTAATTTGAAAAATAGATAAATAATCCTTCTTATAGATATATTCTCCATGTTTTGTGACAGTGCAGGGACAACCCTCGACGGACTTCCCTGACTGTGCGCCAAGGTTGAGCGAGCATTCGTGATCTGAAGCTGGCAGGGAATAGACCATACCTATATACCAGACCAGACCAGACCAGACCGAAAAAAGAAAAAAAGAAAAAAAAAACCTCCGGCCAGAGGAAGACCTTATGCAGCTGGCTTTAAGCCCGATTATTATTTTATTTTGGATCCGTTCTGGGCCAAATATTCATTTTCCACTTGCAAACACTTTTTGTGGCTCGTGTGGCAGCTAAGGCGGCCCATTGATTTATGGCCAACTCGGCGCCCCAACTAATCAGAGGCATTTGCATGCAGATCGCAAGAGAGTTTTTGGCCAAAATGTTTAATGAGCAACGCACCGAAGACAAAAAAAAAAACAACCAGCGTGGCCAAATATTTTCCGGCTAACAAAACCAAACCAAACCGAAACGAGCCAAACTAAAAAAAAAAATTGAACAAATGGAAATCTAAGTAGGGAGTCGCATTGTCAAATACTCTTTGGCTGGTAAATCAATGAAAATGATTATCAAAATTATTTAATTCGTTTAAAAAATATATTGAAAATATTGCAAAGGATACTTTAGGTTCAAATTGAGTCAAATCTAAATGTAAGAGATTGCAATTCCAGACATGTGGAAAACGGTTTTTATTTTTACATTTTGTGAAAACTTTATTGGTTAAACGAATCATTCTCGAACTGATCACTCATTTCGTAATACCTCTTAGTTTTAAGAGTATGTGAAGTAAAGACGCCTCAACCAAATTGAACAGGGCAGCCCAAAAAAAGTGCGTGAGCGATGCGCAAATATTTGGCCAGAGTTTTGGAAGTGAAATAAATGAAATGAGTTGCGTTTTGGGGGCTCTCAAGCTGCTTGAAATGCGCGCCAGAAACCCTACGCACTTCATAAATTATTTAACAGCTGCCCTGGCCATTTTTTTTTTTGAGGGAGTTTCAAAGGGGGTTTTCGATAGGTATTTCAAAGGGGTATTCGAAGGGGGGAATGGTGGGGGGGGCTGGTGGCGACCAGCGGAAGGGGACCAATTTTAATTGCCGGCTACATGACAATGACAACATAGCCACACAACCACCGCACGCACTTTTTGGAGGCCGATCGAGTCAGAAATCCGAAATCGGACAGAAACTAAAGAGTAAAAAAAAAAAAATGTGCGAATTTTTGACAACTGCAAACCGAAGTCGAGGCATGTACAACATGGCTTTGTACACGATTGTCGCCCCGCCTGATTTATGGCAAATGCCCCGGACAAGTTTTCAGATATCTAAGTGATCCGTGTGATTCATACATATATCATACATACAGATTGCCTCATTCCGTGTGCTGGGAGAATACTCGACTAAAGGAAATACAATATTTAATACTTACATAAAATACAAAACACTTAACCCAAATCAAGAACACTAAAGATCAAGCGATATGATGGTTAAAAAAGTGGGTGTAATAGGAAATTCTCAACTACCAAGAACAAAGGTTTATTAATTGATTTGATCGGATATAAAATAAATTAATAATAAAAGCGGAATAGATAGATTATTTTTTATAATTAGAATACAAATTCAAATAACATTATTATTTCTTCAACGATCTTTCTTTAATAGATCTGAACTTAAATAAATTAAGAGCTAGCCGACAAGATTAATTTAAGTGCTATATACAAGAAGTTCTTTCATGTTTTGAGTGATTTACTTGATTAGATATAAGTATCTTTATTTGCATTTAAATGTCAAACAGAAATCATCTAATAAAAATAGAACACACTTCGAACTGGTTGAAATAAAATTTTAATTATTAGAGCTTGTCAAGGAATAACTCATGCTATTCCCCCAAAAAAGAAACAACAAAAAAGAAAACCGTAGCATAATTCATAAGAAAAAGAACACCTCATGATTAATCATTCAAACTGCTGCTGCTCTCGAGAGATCATCTTGAACTTAACTAGTGGATAATAGACGGTTAGTTCCTCATTCCAGATTTAGTTTTTTTTTTGGAGGGGAAATCTTGCTGATCTTTCAATATCGTAGCGCCAGGCTATATGAGAGATCAAAATAAACCGAACAATTGAGATGGGTTTCAATTTGATGAAGTCGCCTTTTTTAACCTAATTGTACAATATGCGGATGTGTATATAACTATCCAGTATTATATTCGCATTTTATTTGATTTATTTTCCTTTGTCGGCTGCTCAAGGATTGGACACATTATTATTCATTCCGATTATTTATGGCACTTCGCCGAGCCCCACACATCTCGATTCAAGTTTCCCATGGCAACGGTCCATAAAAAATATAGTTCAAGTGCCCCAAAAATCCATTTCCAGGAAGTTCTATTCTGTTTTTTTTTTCTTTTTTTTTGTGTTAAAGCGGAAGTTAAGAGTGTGAAATTCTACGAAAATCAAAAGTCAGCTTTGCACAGACTTTTGTGGGTATTAAAAATGTTTGTTATTATTCCTAAAAATTTTGGATTAAGGGAATATTTATTGGAATTTTTTCAAGAATTCTGAGACAGATCTTTTAGAGGTTTCTTTAATCGGGGAAAAAACGTTTTTTCTAATGTTAATTTAATTTTAAAAAAATTAGCTCAATGCTAACATTTCCACAGCAAAAAAGTTCGTTAATTTGAATTCTTTGCAATCGCATATCCCCACCCATTTCTCCCACTTAATTTGACAGAAGTATCCGTCAAAAAGTGCAGGACAGAAAGAACAAACAAAAAAAAAAAAAAAGCAAAGTCCCATCATTGAAATGAACGATTTGAGTTGGGTTCGCCAGCCAAAAAATCCAAAGACAATTCAAAAAAAAAAAAAGGAACACCGAAATTTGTTTCTTGACGCTGCATAAAATTAAGGCAGTGGGGGTGGCAATGTATATATATATAAATATATATATTATATATACATAAATAAATGGTCTGTCTGCCTGTCAAATGTCAATGATGTACACTTAAGCCTTTTATTCGCTATCTGCAGACTGGATCCCCTGTACAGTCTGCCCTCCATTTGGGGGTACCAACAACAGCAACGGCAGACCAAAATAAGACAGTCGATTTCTTTATTTCGGTCGAAAAAGAAGTCATTAAAAATGCACAGAATGTCAATGTAAAACGCTGATAATACGCAATTATGCATCCGCCAGATAAATAACACGGCCAAAGGAAGCTAATGACAGTTGGCAGGAATATAAAAAATGATGATGATGTCGAGAATGGAGATGTCTGGGATGTATATGAACATATGTATTAATGTATGTGCTCTGTGCCCCAACCGAAACTTTCAACATAATCAAAAAGTCGTTGGCTTTGACCTTCCTCCATCAAAAAAAACTTTTTGAAACAAAAGAAATAATTATTTTAAAGAAGTAAAATTGCGTTTAATGTACTTTAAAATATTAAATTTTGGTCTTAAAATTTCAATTTTTAATTGATTAAAACTCAAAATAATTTCACGCTGAACACAATTAATAATAATAAATAATAAATTTTTAATAATGCGCCAAAATTTATTTGCACACGCGTCGATGGCGATGTCTGGGTGATGTAAACATGGCCCCCAATGCGCCTACCCGCCATTCAACCACCCACGAATGCCAAACACGAGCCACTGGCATGTGCGATTAAAAATGTTTTACGCAGTTTCCGAGTGGCAACATTGTAAGCTAAAGTATTTAAAATAGTTTTCACTGCCTCCGCGCAATCGTATAACATACATATTGATTTGTGGGAGTGTGCAAGTTTTTCTTCGAGTGTATGTAAGCGTTACACGTGCGAGACTTTTACCACATTACAAAAATAGCAACAATAACTAAAACAAAAAGCATCAGCCGCATCGGCAGTCGCAGCAACAGCCGGCATTACATTTGCCGCGCATTTTGCATTTAATGGGAAAAATAAACATAAACGACTGGCTAGCTAGCTAGCCAAGTGGGTCGAAGGCCCAGTTACTCTGTTTGCATTTTCTTTTAATTTTCATTACAAAAATTAGATAAAAGTTAGTGAGATTTCTTTAAATTAAAATACTTTTAAAACTAAATAGTTTTTGAAATAATTTTAAAATTTATAAATATTATGAATGTAGATAGAAATTTTGTAGTTGCTATTATTCCTAAAAATAGTGCAGCCATATCAGAGAATGAAGTAAAATTATGCAATTGTATTTGTTGTAATAGTTACTAATGGTGGATCCGTGGGGGTAGGGGGTTTTTAGGGGATGCGTTAAGGGGTTTTCTGGGGTTCGGGGACGCTTTTGTGCATCATTTGCATAATGCAAATTGAGCAGGCAGGCGCCTTTTGCGTAATTTTCGTTGCTATTTCGCTCGCAATCACTCATCCATTCAGTCCTTCATTTAGTCATTCGATTTTGAAAATAAAAAAAACAAAAGCATAAATTAGTACCTGCAGAAATGGCATTTTGTCACACATTTCTAAGGGCTTATCTATTAATGGCTATGCAATTGGGATTCGGTTTTTCCCGGTATAAATTATGTTGAATATTAAATGTTTTTTTTTAAACAATATTTAAGTAAAGCTATACAAAGCCTAACTTAATTTACATAACCTTTGAATAGTTTAGCAAAGTAAATTGTAGGTTTTCTTGTAACTTCTTTCTATATTGAGTTATCAGCCTTGTCTTCGAAATGTATGACAATTATTTATTAATTACTATCTTGCTTATGATTAGAGACTTTAAAACTATAAATATATATATAAATATTAATCATAAACAAACTTAAACTAATTATTTTACTAATAAATGCAAACACTACTTAATGTCTATAATAATTAACTTTTCTTTTGATATTTAAACGATTCTCAATAAGGCAACGTAAATCACTTAAGCGACGATCGAAAGTCTTCTTCGGGCACAGATACTGTATATATATATAGGGTATATATGTACACTATTCCCAAAGCTATTGGATTTCAGAGACAGAAGCAGACGGCGACATTTTCATTTTCATTTCCACTTTTTTTTTTTTTTTTTTTTTACGACTAACGATTCTGACGAGCGACGGTAATCAGTAATCTTATTTATGGGCCTCTATATAAGTGGTGTGTGTATATGCATGGGTTCTATATGCTGGGCGATTATAGAAAATAAACTGGGTCACACGCGTTCTCCGCTTTCACTCTTACTTTTCTTAACTTTTCATTACTTTTCCTTTCCCATTAGAACTTAAAGATTTTCTCTATCTCTGGGATCTCTGGGTTAGATGGATTTCGTTAGTATTCCCAAGAATTGTGCGTCAGGCGAAACTGATCCGTTTCAAAAATTG